CCACTACCGCTACCGACAGACGACATCATGGACTTGCTAAACATTTGCCTAACGTCTACTTACTTTCAGTACAACGGTAAACACTACAAACAGTTACACGGCACTGCCATGGGGTCTCCAGTTTCTGTTGTTATAGCAGAAATTGTGATGCAGAACATCGAGGAACGCGCCCTTTCGACTTGCCGACAAACGATACCGCTTTGGTTACGTTACGTTGACGACACATTCACCGCCGTTCGACACGACGAAATTGACGCATTCCACAACCACCTTAACGAACAAAACACTGACATACAGTTTACCAGAGAAGTCGAAGAAAATGGCAAACTTCCTTTTCTAGACTGCCTGGTAAGCCACAACGACAACTCATTACGAACGACAGTTTACAGGAAACCGACACACACCGACAGATTACTAGACGAGTCATCCTACAACCCTACATCACACAAAGCCACAACTATCAGAACTCTAACACGACGCGCACAACTAGTATGTGACTCGACAGACAGCTTATCCGACGAGAACAAATACCTTCACCGTGTTTTTACGAAGAACAACTACAACAACGACTTCATCCGACGAAACACTCACCGACCCACTACCACTACCGAAACAAACGACACCGCAACCCCTACGACTACAGCAACCATACCGTACATAAAAGGCATGTCTGAAAACATCTCGCGCATCTTACTACCCTTCAATATCCGCGTCGCCCACAAACCCATCACCACACTACGTCAGTTACTAACCAACGTTAAAGACAAAGACGAACCGAGGAACAGACAGGGAACGATTTATAAGATCAATTGTTCCGACTGCCAAGCCTCCTACATCGGTGAGACTGGCAGAAACCTCACAACAAGACTGACTGAACACAGACGGGCGACGAGGAAAGGTGATGTCAGCAATCACATTGCTGAACACCATCGACTTACCAACCACAACATTGACTGGGACTCTGCGCAATGCCTAACCTACAGCACTGACTATTTTCAACGACTGACTCTGGAAAGCTGGTTTACTAACTTAGAACAGACTCCCCTAAACAGATGTCAACAACTACCCGCTCCATACAAACGACTCATTCACGACATAAACATCACAAACGACCGAAAAAGAACGACCTAACTTTACCGACAGATCGAAACAGACCAATCACGACCGACTTACGTCACTTGAGTCTTACAGCCAATAACATCACGGCAAAACCAACCGATTATTTCACACGAACTGGAATAAGAACATTCTACTGACAACAATCATTCACTTGACTCTAATGATGACTTCCGCACAGGTTGTCGAAACGTCAGTCACGACCACCGACAACAGTCCTGCTCAGGACTACACTCACCCGGACGATCAGACTACACCTTCACATGTTACCCCCGGGTTCAAACCATTTACTGCAATACTAATAATGATATTTGAACTTGAAGCTCTCACACCCGTAGGTTATCTACAGAGAGGTCCTGATCCAAAATAACATTAAATTGTTAAAAGTAAGTACACAAATTGCAGATATTAAAAGAGTTCAAATGTATGCTATAGATTAAAAGATTTAAAAAAAAACTATTTCTAAACTGACATATAGTGCCAGGGTTCTTCAAGTCACTGTCCAAGGCATTCCAGTTTTTGAAGGTATGATAATAGGTTCTTTGCTTACCCCAGTTCCGTTTTACTCATGGAAGTCTAACATGATCTTTGCAACTAGTGTTGTATCTATGTACATCGCTGTTTCTAGATAATTCCAATTTGTGAGATGTACTTCCATTCGCGCATTTATAAACATACAAACAGCGATAGAAGTGCTTGCGTTGTTTTAAATTTAACTAGCCGAGCTGATTGAGTGCATCGGTTTCAGAGGAGTACAATGGTTTATCTAGAGTTTTGTGTAACACAGATGAGGTAAAATGCGCGCTTTGACCATGTTGCGTGCAAACTATGACCATAGTGCGTGTAAACTTAAAGATATTCTATTAAAGCAGTAAACCAAACCTTTATCAGTTTACCTTCAGTTGGTAATAACCCATTTTGAGTCGATTTTAGGAAAAGGCGAAAAACGTTTTTTGATCAGTTGCCTTTTGCTTGTTATGTAAAACAGCAATTTGCATGGGTTGTTCTGCTGGTAAACGAAATGAAAGTCAGGAGCTCATTTTAATATAATTTTTTGAAAAAGCTGCTCGATGCATATGAAGTTTGTAAGTATTAATTCAGGCCGGATGAAACACCCAAGGCCTCCAAAGTAGAAATTTGGAGATTTTAAAAATTAATGTTACTTTGAATTGTTCATAGATTTTTTTCAGGTCTGATTTTCGCTATTGTATAAATAACGCTCTCTACTGCGAGGATCGTGCATCATACGTATCTATAACCGCAGTTAAAAATATATGAACTTCATATATTCATCGTATGTCAACTAATGTTGTAAAATCAAAATCAACGCAATCACAACAGCCAATCAGAAGGAAAACATCGCAAGGTGTCCACGGAAATACAAAATAGACGAAACCACATTGGTCACGATTTTGAATCTGATTGTTGTAGAGGGGAGTTATCATATAATGTATTAAACCAAAACAAAGTAATCATGGATCATTTTTACACTCAACTGAGAATTGCACTGCTCTTTGAGACATATGGCTGATATCTACACTCAAACCGAACATGAGAAAACATGATCACACGATACCAAACAAGATACCCAAATATAACTATTTTTGGTTACCAAACAATGATTGACCATGATCAGTTACCAAAAGTTTCCCATTCTGTCAGGGATAAATATTAGTTAGCGCAAATACCAGCATAACCACTAAGAGTTGCAAGCTTTTAAGTCTTACTAAAAAGTCTAGCTTTTTAACAGAGCACCACTGTACTCACATTTTTGGTAATAAGCCACCAAGGCCTTTGAAATGGCTTGACGGATAGCTGTGAAAAGGAAAAAAAAAATGATTGTTACACAAATNTGCGTTGTTTTAAATTTAACTAGCCGAGCTGATTGAGTGCATCGGTTTCAGAGGAGTACAATGGTTTATCTAGAGTTTTGTGTAACACAGATGAGGTAAAATGCGCGCTTTGACCATGTTGCGTGCAAACTATGACCATAGTGCGTGTAAACTTAAAGATATTCTATTAAAGCAGTAAACCAAACCTTTATCAGTTTACCTTCAGTTGGTAATAACCCATTTTGAGTCGATTTTAGGAAAAGGCGAAAAACGTTTTTTGATCAGTTGCCTTTTGCTTGTTATGTAAAACAGCAATTTGCATGGGTTGTTCTGCTGGTAAACGAAATGAAAGTCAGGAGCTCATTTTAATATAATTTTTTGAAAAAGCTGCTCGATGCATATGAAGTTTGTAAGTATTAATTCAGGCCGGATGAAACACCCAAGGCCTCCAAAGTAGAAATTTGGAGATTTTAAAAATTAATGTTACTTTGAATTGTTCATAGATTTTTTTCAGGTCTGATTTTCGCTATTGTATAAATAACGCTCTCTACTGCGAGGATCGTGCATCATACGTATCTATAACCGCAGTTAAAAATATATGAACTTCATATATTCATCGTATCTGATTTATCATCACGGGTTTATTACGATTCAACTTAACGGCCTGCCCCCAGTTGGCTTGTTAGCTCAATTGGTAGAGCGCAGCACTAGTATCGCAGAGGTCAGTGGTTCGAATCCCGTACACGCCTGATTTTTTTCAGGTCTGATTTTCGGTATTGCATAAATAGCGCTCTCTACTGCGAGGATCGTGCATCATAGTAGTATTTATGGATTTGGCTGTTCAGCTTCGAAAGATACAACGGCATATTAGGATCTTACCACAAAAACAACAAGACTGTAGAAATACAAATCATGTGGAAGTTTGTGACTTCTGGAACTCTGGCAAATATGCAATATAGTTTACCAACACAGTACAGTGATCTCTTCCTGCCCAACTACAAAGCACAGCTTGATTCGAAAGAGAGACATGAAGAAACTAGTCTATTTCCACAACTAATGCTAACATCTTCTGGTCCTTTACTTGGCAAGGAATCTGTGTGGGCAGATTTGACATCAATCTGTTTTGAGAGCACATACAAGCTGGCAAGTCTTGACCAATCAGAATTGAGTACATTGCTTAAAGTTTACCTCACCTTATATCTGAAAGAGACAGAAGCCTCACTGAAAGTGTCTGCGCTTTACAAGAAGTATAAGTCTTTAACAATCGGTGGTGAGAGGTATGGTTCAACAGCGGGTTCCAGGCTTTGCTCTTATGCTCGAATAATTGCATCATGGTGTGAGAACAATGGAATTATTAACCCTGGAATGATGAGGCCTGGAATAATTCGCTATTTCATTATTCACAGTTTGGAGATCAAGGGACAGCAGAAAATTCATGCATTTGCTGTTGAGGACTGGTTGAAGTCATCTGAGCAAGCCTTTGGTTATGGTAATCCCCTGTCTGTTTGGTTTCCCAAA